CAGCTGTTGCATTATAAAAAACTTCAACTCGCAAGATAAGAATACCTTATTACAAAGATTAACGCATAGATTTTAGTATTTTACCAATATCAGACATTCAATTTAATAATTTAATTGAAAATTAATTTTGCAACTGAATTATACATATTTTACTTTATCTATTGCACACATACAATAAAATTTTAAAAATTAACATAAAAAACAAACATTCTTCTCCATACATGACATGTAGAGTTTTTTTGTTATAGACAGTCCTATAAGTGTAAAAATGTAAATAATATGATTTCTTTTTAAAAGTTTGGCGAAACTTAGTTAATATTAAAACATGGACTCAATTAATATTTTATTTTAAAGTTCATGAGACTCAATTAGTGATTACTACCTACCTATATATGTATGTATACCTAAAACAATACTCAGTAGTTATAAAGAAGAAGAAATTCTGTTTTCTAGAAATCGGAAAATTGGATCGGAGGAATGGTAAAAGTCCCAGTGCCTATGGGCCCAACTATAGTTAGGACACGTCTAGAAAAATCACGTCAAGTCATTATTCCCAGTCAAAGACGCGGAAATCATGAATTACAATGTTCCCTGTTAAATTCTGCAACTCATATAATATACGAGTAGATATATAGCTATTATGTGTACCAATCATTAAACACATTATTACTGGTTTAGGCGTCGAGATATCAATAACTGTCTGGGGTGTGAAATTGAAAATTGTAAATTTAAAACAAGAATTTGTTACACATTCAAAATATATTATGATGTTTTAATACATTTAAGGTACCTGGTACCTATACTTATTAATCAACAAACAGTTGTTAAGATTAATACAATTATAGGTGAATTTGGTTAATTTTCCCAAAGGTTATTTGTTCTGGGTCCTAAGAATTTTCACACTATATCGCGTTCCTACAGATTTATTTATTTTTTTAAATATCAGAAAAGATTTCTATAGGCCTCACTTTATTTGATCTTGACAATATGGTGCGTAAGTATAGGATATAATTAATCAGTTCACGAGATGAATTAAACGTCATAGTGGTATTGGTATATACCGTATATAATCCACTTTTATTTATTTTATAATGAATATACTATGTATTTATGTTTGTTTATATTATAGTCTTCAATACGCGTACACTAGGATTTCACACGGAAGTTGCTACATTTACTGCCACACACGCACGCGCATAACTTATTATTATATAACTAAAACGGATAGGTACCTACCTATTAGATTTGATCGGAGGAAATGTTTGTCTTATCGTCAAAATCCCTTACGAAATTTAAATAGGTAATTATATTATTAGTCTATAACCCAAGTAACAATTTTCAATCATTCAGATTGATAAATATTTAATTTTTATTTAATTCTTAATATTTAATTTTTAATATTATTGAGTAACTAATTAAATATTTTAAAACTAATAAATGTATTGTAATATACTTATAAGTTTATAAAATATTGACTTTAAAATATATTTAACTCAACTATTATTCAATATTTAACAATAATTAAAAATAAATAAATATTTATGTTAACTAATAGTTTTTTAATAAATATTTAATAAATAACGGCATATTATTCAATAATTGTATATATATTATATTATGTATGTAAATACTAAATAGACAATGAAAACTTTGATGGACATGAGGATTATGCCGTAATAAACAAACGTTTACAATTAAATTTAAACGATTTAAATATCAAACATTATATAAAAAAAAAAAATAATAATTAGAAAATTTCGTTCCAAGCAAAACATGCAGTTAAATTAATGGAGGACTTTAATAAAATAATTTAAAAAAACGAAAAACAAAATCAGTAAACATTTTATTACAAGTTGTTGCACAAAATTGACGATAATTCCCCAACAGTTGTAGATAAGTTACACTTATGGGATGAATGTATTAATTTATATTATATTATACATTGTATAGGGTTCTGAATTTGAAATATTTGAAAATTGAAAATTTCACATTTCTTGAATTAAGGGCCAGTTGTACCATCTCTGATTAAAGTTAACCGGAGTTTAATCGGCCGAATTTGCACGGTTAAATATCTGTTATCAGCTGATTAAGCTTAATCGTAGTTTAACCGTAGACGGTACAACTGGCCCTAACTATTTCAATGTGATTATGAAAAAAAATTTTCTTCTTTTAAACAAATTTGGTTATAGATGATTAGAAATAATATAATATTGATTGCACGCAGAAACCATTGATAATGATTAATTAATAATATAACTATAATATCATCAGGTAGGTATGACTTATGAACCCAGGCTTATGAATTACTATAATACGTTATGGTTATGAATGAAGTTTGTAATAACTAACAACTAATAAGTATAAAATACAATTTTTATGGTATATTCAAAATTGCCATATTGGTATTAATTGTATTATCATTTATTAATCTTATTAGAAAAACTAGAATCTTGGTTGATCTTAGGTGATTAAAAATCAACAATCATAATAGGTATACAATAAAGTATACAGTAATATAACTTATATTGTTATATTATAGGTACTTATCTTATTTATAATATTATAGCAAGTTAAAAAGTTATAAGTTATAACACTTTGAAAATATGCCATTATATTGAGTTAGCTTATTACATTTTTATTTTTCATTATACATTAAAGAAAGAAGTAAAAAAAGTTCTTATAATAGCTAGGTTACCTACTACCTAGGTATCTAGGTACCTAGTCTAATGTAACATTACACTATTTTAAATTAGTAATTACAAAATGTATTTTGCAAACCAATTTTTATTAAGTAAAATGAAAAAAGTATTTAAGTACATTGCAAAGTATTTGTATTTGTTCTTAAATACTTTCTAAATAATTTGTTATTTATTGTTAACAAAAATAATAAATTCAAAATTGAACAACTATTACACTATTTTCGGTGAAATACTACCATAATATTCACTATTATGATCCTGCAACTCCTGTCTATGATAACTAATATAAAGAGAAAATCCACTGCTTATAATATTATTATTTAACACTTCTACGCGCGATTTGTCCCCGTCCGCACGCGTCCCTGCACCCGATATTACAATGACATAAAGAAACCAGTAACCACTCAACAGTATCTATACCAGCTATGCCTATGTAGGACATGTATGGCTCACTGTAAACGGTATAATAAATGAGCCGGTTACACAACTACTATATAGGCGAATATAGTTTACGTTGGAGCACTATAATAGTACTTGTAGTAGGTATCTTAGTTTACGTATGGACGTGATCTTTATACATATTATAAAGTTTATAAGCTTATACACTAATACACTACAAGTTATAACAATATAACTCTATGCCTCTAATCTCTATTTCAAAAGAGAATATACCGCTGTCCGCTATCGCGCATCGCCGATCAAAACTGTCAAGTAGGTATACACCGAATTCAAATAAATTGTACGTAAAAGATTAGCGCTAGAGTACAACTAAAGTTGTACTATTTGGAACTGGCTGGTTCACAAGTTCACAACCAGCAGACGGTGGTAGCGCATCATCATCGTATTTAATATAATATCTAATTAGTAACAACTATTAACTAATCATAAGTCTAAAAAAAAAGGGGTGTCCGGTAATTGGTGAAGAAGAAATCTTAAATATACATTATTATTGTGGGACGCACTGACGCGTAGTGATAATATCTTCTTTTATCAACCATAATTATTCGTGAACAATCTATTTTTATACTACGTACTGGTACGTCCACCTCAGTCGGATTGTCTCGTCATTAAATATTGATATTATCAATCAACAATCTAGAATTGGTAATCGGTAATCGGTATAAAACACCGTATAGTCTACTGTATCTATAATCAATGTCTATCGCCGCCATATTATTTACTCATCGTTGACCGTTGTTCGTAATTCGTATGCTGTACATTTCGGATCGTCATTTTCCTTTTTTATCGTGGTGTGCGTTACTCGTCGTTCTCGACTTTGGTTTCGCGTCCCGTTCTGTGTAAACAACACAAACCACGCCATCGTTTTGCAATTCTTCCGAGTCCTGTGTCGTCGGATACCGATTGTTTTTACCGTGCAACCGTCGCCGACGTACCTAGTTCGTTATTAGGTACAGTCAAAATTATTTATTTTGGCTTCGCTGGTCGGCCATTGCTCTTGTACTTTTTGTTTTTACTTTCGAGTATCGTTCTGTTTAAACAACAAACGACGCGTGGACGCCATTTTTTTGCAATTTTTTTTTGTTTGTTATTGTTTTTCAATTTAAACTTAACAGTTTTAAAATTTATATTTATACGAAGTTGACAAGTGAAGGTAACTCGCGAGGTGAGTACAAGTATTGCGAGTTGCGACTAATATTATTATTTTATTCAAATATTGATGAGTGGCTGAGTTTTCGACAATTGGATACCTAATTGTCACTGGTATGTAATATAATATCATTATTGGGCCCGTTTCATAGCCAGAGTTTTTCGATTTATATCTTGGTAGGCGTCGACGACACAATGGCGAAAATGAGTTCAAGCAAGTCGGCTAGTACTAACTTACATAATATAAATCGAAAAGCTCTTATATGATACGTATGCATGGCTGTAAAGGGCCGTACATATTATATTAATAATAATATAATACTTTTTATTTTGCAATATTTCTATTGTTATTTTAGTTTCAAGAGTCAAGATTTATACCTATCAAGTTAACACCGAGGGGCTGTTGAGGACCTACCAATTTCAGTTATATGTTGTAGTCGAGGTTGTAGTATTGTTCTTGGTTAGTATTTAGAACATTATTATTATTACTTTATTGTTTTTACTTTTTTATGTTGTAACATCATACTAGGTATTAGTGTCAGTTGTATACTTAATTTTAATTTATTCCGTACCATTGTTGTTGCTGATCAGTCATTTTTTAAGGCTCTTCTCTTGTTATTATCTATTATCATTACAGAGTATAAAGTTGTCAGGTAGGTACATAAACTGTTTTGGAAATATTTATTTTAGAAAATGTCTCTTGCTTTAAGCAAGTCTACTAAGCGTAGACGATGTTTGGAAGAGATTGAGGAGTTAGGTTTAGCCATTGATAGCAATGCTTCTTGCAATAATCATAATGATCAACCTAGTTCATCCGAACAGCATATAATATCACATAAGTTATCCAATAATATTAGTAATGAGTGTGATCCTACGTCTATTTTTTTTGCAAGTAACCATAATGAAGAAATTGATCCAAACTTAATGGCTGACATTAATCTAAATGGTACAAATATTTTTGTTTCTAATTTTTCGTCAGATTCTGATTATAGTGATTCAGACTATAGTGAAAAAGTGTTAACTAACATTACTAAATGGGCTATTCAACATAAAATATCAAACTTGGCTTTATCTGATTTGTTAAAAGTATTGAAAACTAATCATAAATGTTTTGATTATTTTCCAATAGATGCCAGAACATTATTAAAAACTAATGTTAGTAAGCAGCCATTACAAATTCAAAATATGAACGCTGGTATTTTTCATTATTTTGGATTAGCTAATGGCATAAAATCGGTCATTGGTCCAAATGTATTTTCTGATGACACAATTAAATTACAATTAGGAGTAGATGGTTTACCTTTGACTAAATCCACCAATAGCCAGTTTTGGCCAATTCTCTGCTATATTTCTAATTTTAATAATACTAAGTCATGTGTGTTTTTGGTTGGTCTATATTGGGGTACAGAAAAGCCACAAGATAGCAATTTGTATTTATCAGAATTAGTAGCCGAATTAAAAGGATTGTGTTTTGATGGTATTGATCTACCTGTTGGTAAAAAAAAAGTTTATGTTGAAGCTATTTGTGCTGATGCCCCAGCCATAAGTTATATATTAAGGACCAAAGGGCATACAGGGTTTTCTTCTTGCATTAGGTGTTCAATTACAGGAGTATTTTTAGAAAGAAGGGTTTGTTTTCCTGAAACCGTTTTCAACAAGCGTACTCATGAAGAATTTCTTAATAGGCAAGATGAAGACTATCAAGTTCATAATACTATTTCCATTTTGTCCGAAGTACCTAATATAGACATGGTATATAGTTTTCCACTGGATTATATGCATTCGGTTTGTTTGGGAGTTGTTAAAAAAAATATTTTGCTATGGTTGGGTACTTTGAAAAATTCACCATTATCAGTTCGATTACCAAGCCAGAGTGTTAAATTAATATCGAATAGACTAATGCATTTAAAATCAAACATAACTCGTGATTTTGCTAGGATTCCAAGAGGGCTAAATGAAGTTTTGAGATGGAAAGCTACGGAGTTTAGGACTTTCATATTGTATACAGGGCCTGTAGTACTTAAATCTATTATTAGTCCTGAATGTTATGAACATTTTCTATGTTTGCACGTGTCTATGACTGTTCTTTTAAGTCCCTCTCATGGATATCTTTTAAATTTTATTGATAAGCTATTGAGTTACTATGTAAAAAAATTTGGTGAAATTTATGGTGAAGAATTTTTGTCTCATAATTTGCATGCACTTGTCCACCTCTGTGATGACTATAACAAATTTGGGCCACTTGACAACTGTTCTTGTTTTATGTTTGAAAATTTCATGCAGTTTTTAAAAAAAATGGTCAGAAGCAAAGCTAGACCTTTAGAGCAAGTTATTAAGCGTAACGAAGAACTTAATAAGTTTGGTAGACTTGAAATTACTTGTACTCAAATAACTGAAAATGAATGTAAAAATAGACATAATGAAGGACCATTAATTGAAGGCTGTTCATCGCCACAATTTAAAATTGTATCTATGAAAAATGTTCTGATTAAGATAAGATCATTATCTGATTGTTATATTGGATATTTTAACAGTAACAAAAAGCTTATTATTATGAATGTTGTAAATGTTTGTTACCATCGTGAAAGTCAAGCAAATGTATTTTTGGGAAGGATTTTCAATACTGTTAAACCATTTTACACTAAACCGATAGACAGTTTAAAGTTAGGAATTGCTTCCGTTTCTGATTTGTCAGATGATTTAATGATTTGCAACATTAATAAAACTAATTTAAAAAAGTATATGGCACTTGACCTAAATGATGATATTAATATTAAAATTGTTTTTCCGATATTACACTCAAAATAGTTATAGATTCAAGAATAAATTGTATTTTTATATTATAGTTTTTACTTTGAATGTTGTATTAGTTTATTTTTATATCTATTTATAATAAATGAATGTAATATGATCTGTATGCATTGATTATTTTAATTTTAATACAGCTTGTCATGGATTCATTATATTCAGTAGTCCATTTTTTAAATGAAAATACTGTAGATTGTGTCCCCAGTAATTGGATTAAGGATAATACCTGTGCTTGGCCGTTTAACCAAAACAATGCTAGAAAGATGATTGAACAAAAATATCAACCAAATAATAAAGAATTTACTTATTTTAAAATAAGAATCCTTAGTTCCGGTATAAGTGAGTTGTATTATTTTCATTTTCATTTTATGACAAATGTTTGTAGTTATAAATAAAAAGTATAACAGTCTATAAAATTAACAAAATTAACACTTTGTCTACATTTGTTATTATAGAAACTTTAGGAGAAGCAGATTTTAAAGCTAATAAAGCTCAAAATACAACAGACCTATCTGATGATGGCAATAATAAAAAACGAATTAAAATAAATAAATTCTCTTCGACAAAGTCTGTGGAATGTCCTATGTACAATTCAGGTAACATTATTTAATGTGTTTTATATGTAAAATATTTTAGTAGTTTTGTCATTATAATATATTATTAACTTTTTCAAGTATTATAGAATTAAATATTATAGGCAGTACACTAGTTATAAATAATATATTAATATATGTTTTTTAATTTTTAGATTCTGATGGTAGTGGCATTGGCACAATGTGTAAGAAAAATAAGAATACGCAAATAAATCTGTTGAAAAAAAAAAATGGTTGGTCTCCTTCTCCAAAAAAAATTGAAGGTATTATTATTGTATTTGACTGTAATATGCAATTTAATTAAACTCATCATAACATTTTAACCTGATATAATAAATAAATATAATTTCAGGGGCTGAAGGCACATTATCTTTCAAAAGGAAACTTACATTTGGAGTTGATAATTTAAAAAAAAAACCTAATCCACTGAAAAATATTAGTCGTCATATTAGTTCTCTCAAAAGTCCAGGTAAAATATAACTATGTCTAAATAAAATAATAATAATTTGTTTAAATTATATATGCTGCGGGTTTTGATAATTGATATATAAAATAATAATATAGGATTATCAAAATGCCAGTATATGCAAAATTACCCACAAGTATAATTTACTTAAAATATATTTCATAATATTATGCTACCCTATAGATGCTGAAAAATCTGCATTGTTTAAAAGAAACAATTTTGATGAAAAAAACCATACACAGAAATCATCATCCTCGCATCTTATGATTAATTCAGATGACGGTAAGAAAAAAAAATAATGTTTAATATATGATTATTTAAAACTCTTCCACCCAAACTATTTTTATTAATTTAGTGTTTTAATCAATATTACCTTCAGTTTTGCAATTTTAAGTAATAAAATAATATAATATATACTCCAATAAATGAAAACTGTTATCATAAAAAAAATGTAATTTCAGGGTCTGAAAACACATTTACTTTTAATAGGAAAGTTACATTTGGAGATAAAAATTCTAAGAAAAAAGCCTATCAACAAGAAAATATCAGAGGTAAATATTAGATTTTAACTACCTATGTCTAAATAAAATATATTTTGTAATAGTAACTTGTTTAATTTATATATTCTGTGGGTTTTGATAATTTGAATATAAAATTATAATATGGGATTATTAAAATGCTAGTTTAAGCAATATTACCCACAAGTATATTTTACTTAAAATATGTTTTATAATATTATGCTGCCCTATATAGATGCTGAAAAATCTACATTGTTAAAAAGTAACAGTTTTTATGACAAAAACCACACTCAGACATCATTATTGTCACCTGTTATGATTAGTTCAGATATTGACGGTAAGAAAAAGAAAACAATAATGTAATATAATGATTATTTAAAAATTTTCTAGAATACCAGGCACTATATTTACTATTTCTATTGTTTTAATCCATATCAACTTAAATTTTTTATTTTATTTACATTATGTCCTATAGATGCTGAAAAATCTCCATTGTTGAAAAGAAACTGTTATGATGAAAGCAACAACACACAGGAATCATTATTCTTACCTGCTATGATTAATTCAGATAATGACGGTAAAAAAAAATAATGTTTAATGATATTTTAAAAATTTCCAGTCCACCACAAAATGTAAAAACGGCCGTGAAGAGAATCATGTCAAAACTATTTACAAATTGTTTTCTTGCGGAATATTCATTTACTGGTAAAAAGGGGAAAAAGAAATTTTGCGATTTGTTTATATTTCCAATTATTTTAAGTAAGTACATGGAAAATATAAATCAATTTATATAACACTTGTAATTTGGCCGTCCATATTACATGTTGGGCCCCTGTACTAAATGTTTGTCCCGGCACTTTTTTTCACAATATATTTAAATATCAAAATATTATTTTATAATATTAGTTAATATAAAATGTCTAAAATTACAAAATCATTTTAATCAGGCCACGGGCCCTAAAATACCTGGGCTCCTGTATTCCAGGTCCAAACTCTCCGCCCCCTCCCCCCATTTGGGCAGCCCTGCTTGCAAGCTTGATACTTAATTCTTTCAAGAAAATGTTTGGTTTCTGACCATTATATTGGTTAGGTTGTAATTATCTTTTAGTAATTTTGTTCCTTTTTTTGTGTAGCTATGTATGAATGAATAAGATTAGATTGGTCAGCCACCAATTTATAATAAATTAAAATATTATTATTATTTAAATACCTATATATCAACATTCAATAGGGTAAGGCTCAAAATTACTTCTAAATTCTAGTAATCATTAGTTGAGCAGAAAATTTTTGTTAACCGATAACTACTGCTTATTATGTTATGTGCAATAATCTGTAATGTAACCACAATTAATTGGGAATACAAATACCTATCCAAAAACTCAAAAGGTATTATAAATATATCAATTATATGACTTTTTTTTATCTTTTTAGAATCCATAAAAAAACAAGTAAAATTCAAAAGTGCAAGTGATCATGAAATAGAAGAACCGTTAAAAATATATTTGGCTCAAGCACCCTTTGCAGACAAACGTTCAAAAACTCTTAAAATATAATTAATTTATGATTAATATTTTAAAAACCAAAAATGGTTGAGTAATATGAATAAATCAAAATATAATATTAATATATAGCTGCAGTATTTCACAATAGTGTTAGGTAAATATAAGTTAATATTGACTAAATATCAATTAAATACATTTATTAATTATTGGTAAAAAAATCTTGACTAAATATTAGTTAACAATATTAATTAAATAAATAATTTTGGTTCTTTCAATATTTACTCAATAGTATTAATTATTTAAAAATGTATTCTTAATAAATGAATAATGTTTAATCAATAATTATATTTTTTAATGTTTATAAATAAATATTGGGTTAACACTAATTAAATGATAGTTTGTTACTTGGGAATACATTAATAAATTAAGGATATATATAGGTGTACGTATACCCAAGGTATGATGTATTCATCGTTTGGTAATTGTATAGTATGAATGTATACATAAGGTATACCTATTATAATATATATTATTCATATAGTAATATAGTAATATAGTATCACTCGTTGGAAATCCAATGTGAATTCATTGTTTGAGAAAATATCACTGGCTGATTTGATTATAATATTTTATATTATACACATATAGGTACCAGCTGTTATTACAATATAGGCACAGAAGTATAGTATATATAAGGTAAGGTATTTTTACAAAACATTTTTAACATATAGGTGTGCATTATTTTTCTAATTTTTATACTTAGCGAAATTGTATTGAATAAGAGGTACTCATCGGTTATCACGAGTACCTTTACCATTTTTCGGTAAACTCAATTATGTTATTGTGACGACTGCAGGTGCGTTATATTATTTTAAGATAATTTTGTGATCTACAGGACAAAATAATATAAATAGGAATGCCCAATAAAACATTAAGTGAAAAATCAATGTACGGCTGCCAACAAACCGATATTCCCTGTAACCGCATTTTCACCAGCTCAAAAATGTGAAAATTTCTATGAAAAGGAAAATGTATGGTGACTTTTCCATATAAAGTATTGACAATATTATTTTATCGAAGAGACAAATATGTGGGTCGTGAATCCAAAATATATATTTAGGAAACAGATATTATTTCGGAAATTAATAATTGCAAAAATATTGATTTTAATAACTCATATATAATAATAGCTGACATACTTGTACATTATATTGTAATTGTTTGAAGATTGATTGTTTGGGTGTTGGGAGTTAGGTTTGGCCCCAAACAAGTTAGCTGAGTTGAATCATATAGGGAAGCTAATTATTTTCAAGTTCTCAAACACTTCGACAGACTCTCTTTCATTCATTTTTTCAATTCAAGCAATGCGCTTTTACGTATAGGTACACATAAAATACAATTTTAAGGTGTATAATATCGAAAAGTAACGTCATAATTATGTAGTCTTAAAAACTATTGTTATTATGTGGTATATAAATTAATTGAAAAATATTGATAATCTAGTCGTATTGTATATTTATGTGTAATTATTTTTATTTTATTTTTGTTCTAACTTGAACCCTCATACTCTGATACTCACACCATGGCCATAGACTTTTGTGAGTGACCGACCTTGTACTATTTCATGTAATCTCAATTGTATCAAATATTTTTTGTTGGTAAATAAATATTAAATTATTATTGTTATTGGTATGATATATATTATTTGTGGATTGTCGCTTGCAGTCGTTAACTTTAGTGGTACATATAGCCTATAGGTAATGGTAACTATGGATTATACGGTGGCTACACATTAACAGACAAATTATATGCGTGTATGTGTATCTATAATATATACCTATATAAATATACAAGCAAAAAGATTGTTCTCTTAACTTTCGAGTTACTAGTGTAATGGTGAGATTTGTTTTATGTAGGTATG